CCATTAATACAAAATTTGCGTTTTAGTGTTTGGAAATGGGAAGTGACTGGCCACGAGTTTAGCTATATGGAATAGACTTGCTGCCCACAAAGGGAACACACAATGTACAATGAAGATTTACATTTACTTTTTAATATACTGGTGAAGCTGGAGGGCATTAATGTTTCTAAATATTTTGTCACTCTCCAAAGTGACAAAATGATCTTAAAGAATGCTTTTATCAAGTCTATCAAAACCTTCAGCATTTCAAAAATGTTATTTGTTCTTTAATTCGATTCAACCTAGCATTTGAAAGGTAGTTTCTTTCCTAAGATGACCTTTTCTAGATGGCATTTCACTTCAACTTGGTTCCTCAACACTTCTAAAACAGACAGCTTCCCTTGAAATACATGAAGAAATAGACTATGGAAATTTAGCCATTCCAGATCTTAGTGCACTAAAAAGTGTTGGATTGTTTTCTGGTTTTTTTGTGTGTTTTTTGGGTTTTTTTTTTCCCTGTGGTTCACCTATTGAGTTAAGCATAGCTGGAGAAGAATGAAAATATATCAACTAGTTGTACCAATTCATAATCAATAAAAAGCTAAACAAACAAACAAACAAAAAAAGCTAAACAGTTAAGCAGAAAATGTATCACAGATTTGTTCCTGGCAAAGCAGCTATTTTTGCCTTGCCATCATCGTCAGAAGCCACATTCTGACAGAAATCATTTGCTTGAAGCAGCCGTGATATATAAGCCCTATGTGGTCTCGTGATTCGGATTTAGGAATATCAGCCACAGAGGGTCTAAAGGCATTGTGCATTAGTACGTATTGAGACCTCATTCCAGGTGGCCAGCAGCTGGACTTCTTAAAAACAAAATTTCCAAAATAAATGGGAAGCGCTTGTTTCCAGGCAGGGAGTGTTTTATTTAATTGAATCATCCTCAAAAACATCATAAATTAGGCAGAACAGGGAGTTGTGCGTATTTAATATATTTGTTTTATATTTCCCCCAGTCAACAGAATAATGAAATTCCTTAACTACTTCTCTTTAACTTGCACGAAGAAAGCACGGTATGTTGCTAAATCTCTTTTCACCGGCACCGCGGAGAAACAACTTTAATCCTTGTTAGAAAATTGCCGAGTCTGGGACTGACAAAGAGCTCATGCTTGGTCCATTGTTAGTGCTCCCTGGCCCCAAGAGCAGAGCCCTTTACAGCTGCGTAGATCCCGCCCGGCTCAGCTGCACTATTTAGGAGAGGAGGTTTGTCAATTTCTATTGACAATGGAGAGAGTTTTTCAGGGCCTGTAGCAGTGCTCACACAGTCGGGAATCAATGCCAGCCATTCAGACTGCACCCTCTTTCATTGCTTTGGTTTGTTAATTCAAGACTAAAGGTCCACTGAGGGGGTTCAGGGTGTTTAAGAAAGCTGATGAACTGTTTAAGAAAGCTGATGAACTGCAAGCGTTTATAGCCCTGGTGTGGCAATTTCCATAGTCAGTGGCAACTCCTGGCACTGAGGGAGCTGTGTCCTTGTTGACCCTCTTGTTATTAAAAATGCACAAGTGCTACGCTTCTCAATATTTCAACACTCTTTCATTGTCAATACCACCTTCTGAGCCCTTCAGCTTGTTGCTTGCTCTAAAGATCTTCTTAGATTGGGTTTGAAAACTTCACCTTAAACACTAGATTAGACTGATGTTCTGTTTTCCGTGCTCCTGTTGATTTGTTGAACCTTCCCAGGGCTGGAAAGCAAGTAGCAGCTTGATGGGGAGACGGGCTGCTAATATGATTTACCAGTCTACAGTCATGCACAATAAGTGTGAATAAATACAGGGGTCTCACAGAGTCAACCCTAGCCTTTCCTTTTCTTTTATTTTTGCTTTAAAAGAAATATCTCAAGAAAATGAAGTGAGTAATGCATGCCCTTACAGGAGTTGAATGAACCACAAAAAGAAGAAAAAAAAAAAAAAACACATATTTTTTGTTAAAGTGGTAGGCTGCTGTCATGGATTGATGTAGGGGGGAAAAATGTAGAATATACACTTACTGCTTTCTTCCTAAGTAGACCAAAGCAAAGGATGAAGCGGTAATGCCATACCCATGACTTCAGTGCAATCTGCAGTGCCCCTTCCTTGTCATCCCCCAAAGGGAAAAAGTGAATGGTCAACCAGATTGTTTTATAAAGTTCACTTTTCCCGAAATGAAAGGACATTTGCTAACATTCAGACTTTCCTGCACATTCGCCCTTTCGAATGTTTCTTTTTTTTTTTTTTTTTTTTCTCTCCTTTGTGTTGGGAAGGTTGCTTTTGCTTGGGTGGGTGAAAATGAAGCGAATCTACCTGTGAGTTTTGTGTTAAGATGAAAAAAAAAACAAAAAAACGGAACCTACCATATTCCAGCACCCAAAAGAAGAACATATCAATTCCAGCACCAGAAATAGGAAAGTGCTGGAGATTTCTTTTTGGTGGTTGTGTTTGTTTGCTTATTTGTTTGCATGGAGTGTGTGTGTCTGTGTTTGTGTGTCTCTTTCACCATATACAAGAAAGAAACAGTCCTAGTGGGTTTTGTGCTGTTGTTAGTAGCAACATAAACTCTGAGCTAAAGTGCTGCTTTCCCTTAATTACCTGATTTAGCTGAAAATCCTCAAAATGCTTTGCCTCGGGAACCAAGAAATATGCATTTTTACCTGAAAAGAATAATTTTTCTTATAGAACTTTCCTTATCGAGTAATTGGTTGCCTTTCAAACTAAGATGATGGTAAAGTAGCTGAAGCTTTTTACTTCACAATCGTTCGCTTTTCTTCTCTGTTTTTATAGTTAACTTACAATCATTTTATCCCCAGTTGATTTTTCTCTAAAATTACAATTTTGGCATTGTGTTAAAGACATGCTGTTAATAATAAATTTCTGTGTTACATTAGATGTCCTTTTGATTATCACTTAATCGTAAGTATCATGTGTAATGGGAAAATGAGTTAACTTTAAATTGTGTAAAGATTTTTTTAAAAATGTAAAGGTGCATATGGAGAAATTCTCAGTGTTTTCATTTCCCTCAAATTCATACAACTTACCATAGATATAGTAACTTTATAGTCTAACAGACAGATTAACTTGTAAGGTATGCTAGACTTCATATATCATATTTTGCCCCCCAACAAAAAAATATTATCTCTTACAGAAGGATTATAATTTAAGAGTCATAACCATGATGACTGCATTTTAGCTTTCAAATTATCTGGAGACTGGTATAGGGTGAGAGTCTTAACTTAGTATCTCATATGTGCTATCACCAATACCCAAGAGTGTTTACCTGTATTAAAATAGAACTCAAGAGGTTGAGACTATAAATAATTTGAAATAGGGAAGTATAGGATTGAAATACCATTGGCAATTACTGTGTCATGACTTCATTAGCAACTTTTTTTTAAAGAATTTAAGGGTATATCTTATTTTTGTAAAACTTGTTTCTGATACTTTTATAATGTCCAGAAAATTAAGAAAACAACCTTAAGGAAAGAGCAAAATTAGGTACATGAATAACATTTTTTAAAAAGTCATAGCCTATCTCACATTTTAAAAACCTGGAATTCATCCATGTGCTATCATAATGTTTAACAAATCAGTTATTCCTTTTAGTTAGCTTATCTCATTTTATGTATGTATGTTCAGTGTACTAATAAATTAATAGAAATAAGTCTTATGAAATGTGACACTGATTCATGTTTCATTTAGGCTTAAAATACCATTTCTTATACTAAATTTTATCAGAATTTTATCAGAACAATGTTAAATACAAGTCCAGATGAATTTCATACTTACTCGTATCAAATAAGATTTCTCTTAATGATTGAATTTACTATTTTATTATGGAAGAAAATTTTTTTAAGATTTTTTTTTCCTGTGTTTGTATACCTAAACACACACGCATCCCATGTGCATGACCTCTAGTGTCACTATATTTCTCTATACAAAAGAGACACAAAAATCCCTTCTCTTTCCAAAAACTCTTGTCATTTCCTACAAGCTAAATGGATTTTGCTATTTCTCAAGTTTATCTGAATGAGGAGCATTATTATTTTTTACAGTATTACCCAAACCTAGCTCTAGCATGGAGTGGCGAATCCCTTAAAATGCTACCACTAATGGTAGATTGCCCTTTTAAAAACAAATAAACAAACAAACAACAAAAAAATGTCTTCTTTTACTATACTCCTAGACATTACATAGGAGCAGGAAATTACATGAGAGAAGAATTTTGATTTTCCCCTCAAAAGAGTGGGAATAAAGAGGAAAAAATAGGAACCCTCCAAAAACACTAGCAAAATGAAACCAGTTCTTTCACGATTTAGTCAACTGACCTCTTCTTTTCGTTTCTGATAGACAGCAATTCCATCCTGATAAAGTGCCTTCCTAAGGTCCGAAATCTTTATTTTAGATGGTTTTAAAACATCTTGGCAAATACTCCGCAACCACTAGTAGGTAAGGGTGAGATTGCAGATCCCTGGCTCCTAAGCCGTGGCAGGGCTTTCTGTCACTTCTCTAGCCTGTTATTTCTGGGTACTGACTGCATGTGTCATGGCATAACGCATCCGCTCTTCGATTTTTACATAATGTACAGGCTAATAAGAAATTTCCCTCTGAAAGTAATTCACCTGCTTTGTCCTGCTGTTTGGGAGCCCATCCAACCCGTAACGTGTATTTAGTGCCCTTTGTTACCTACAGATTACAAAGCAGGCCACTAGGCTACAAGTGCGGGAACACGGTTTCCCATGAATATGTTCTGGCTGAAAGACTCATGTTAATTCATGTAGAGAACAGCCCAGGTCAACGTAGCAGATTTTCTAGCAAAACATACAATTCTGTTAACAGGAAATTATAGCATTATTGACTTCAAGTGCTGATCTGTGGTCATTCCAGAGTGTGTCATTACCCCCTCATTACCGAATCTGTTATATGAATACTGCAGAGGCTGTTTTTCTGTTTTATTCTCCTCCCCTCTGCCCCCATCCTTCTTTCCAGCAATGGTACAGCAGTTCCATGAAAGTCATTTGTGTCTGGTTGGCTGATAGATTAGACCTTCAGCTTCATATTTACCAACTGAAGACGCTCATCAAGATTGTGAAGGTAAACAAAATGTGTTTGGATGTGAATTGCCCACAAAGCTATGAAGGGTAATGGCTAGATATTGACATACAAAAAAAACGGTGTTTGATGTAACTGGGTGGATGTAAGTACTTTAAAAACATCACTCTCGGCAATGACAGGCTACTCTTCACTTACATTTTCAGTTAGATTATTTAAGTCAATGCTAATCATTCTTTTCTTCCCCAATGAAATATATTTGATCCAGTAATCACATTTTAAGATTATGTAGAGAAAGCCTCAGACACATTTACCTGATTATAGTAGGTCCACAGTAATTTGGTATTAATTTTCTTGATTATAGAAATGCTTTCTCCTAATACATTTTCTTCATATTTATTAGGATCACATATCATTATGAAGGCTTTTGAATGTTATTTACCCACAGCATAAGGAGAGTCATATCCTGACACGAAAGTCACACAGTCACTGCCTGACTTCCTTTGGAAGCACGCCCCATCTCACACGTAAGAGATGATCAGTTTGATCATCAGTTTGATCCCAGACAACCAACAGGTGTCACATCACTTAAGCAAAGCCATTTTGACATTTGCTCTTTGAAAGAAAACGTTAACAGCTATAGTTAACAGCTAAATAACAGTTACAGTTATTTAGTAAGGACTTTAAAATCATATGTTTATTTAACATGATTTTTCACACTTTGTAAATTCTAGTGGAAACGCAAAATTTGCCACAAGTATAACTTTTTCTTAAAATTGAGGCAAATCCTACCTTATGCCTAAAAACATAACTCTAAGTTATTGAGAGTCAGCTGTTCTTTTAAAAAGATGACCTTCAAAAAAAAAAGACCTTCACTTCCATTTTAGTGTCATTTATCAAATGGGATATATATACCATATGTATAGATCCAGATCCGTATATATATGTGCCCATATATGTATATGTCTAATAGGCATATGTATATATATGTATGTATGTATATATATATGTTTATATTTATGTGTATGTATGTGTGTATATCACACACACACACACACACACTCAATGGTTCTTAATGTCATTCCTGATCTACTGTTATCAGCATCACCTGGGAACTTGCCAGGCATGCAAATTTCCGGACCCCACCCCAGACCTACTGAATCAGAAACTAGCAATCTATATGTTAACAAGCCCGCCAGATGATTCTGATGTTAGAGTATAAGAACTATTATTGCATTACATCATTAAGTTTTATCCACATTAAAATATTTTCCAGCATTCTCTAGGTTCCTACAGTTTAATTAGAATACAAGTTCTTCTGTGCCATAGCCACACAGGTTATCACAAATTAGAAAGAACCATAAATAGGAAAGTTCTGTTCTAAAGTGAGAAATCGGCCAGTCCGCTGGAACATAAAACCAGACCCATCATGTCACGGTAATAGCAATCACGATTAGTCATAAATGATAAGTAAAATGATAGCCACCCATTCATTTTTAATACTACTAAACATACTGCATTTCATTGGACAGAATATCTTTGGTCCAGAGCTGTTCTTACCAGGTGTTATTTATTTTACAAAGAAACTGAAAGCACACTATGATCCATTCATATTTGCCTTCATTTCTGCAGTGTTTCTTCCTTGTTTCTATAAATGTGACTTGGAGAGCTTCCAAATGAAGTTTGTTTGTCATCAAAGAGAATCTGGGTTATCTGTGGTATACCTTCTAAATATTTATGTATGTTAAGGTTGCAGTCTGTACTCTGTACTGTGACTAATATTGGGATAAGCTGCTTACCCTTACAATCAGCCCTATTTTTCAGAAAGGACCTAGTCAGCTGATTGACATTCGTTGATAGATTGTTAAGTTCTCTGTTTTCAGAATAAAAGTCTCCGTTGTTCACCAGCCCATCATCTGTTTCTTTCAAAGTTATTCCTTTTCTCATATTCATATTGTCATTACAATTAAAGATCCAGCAGCAATGAATATTTTAGCCGAATAAAATGGCAATGTCATGAACCATACGGTGACATTTCCATTGTACTCTAAGCCAATCAGCTTATCTTATTTTAACATAGTCTTCATTATGGGCTACCAGTAGTCCAGACTGATAAATATGAAAATAAGTTTCATGAGTATGTTTGAGTTTCCATGCTTTGTTTTTCACAAGCAGGTCTCCAGACTCAAAATGCTTTCTTTGCCTGATACACCTAATCAAATCGTAGAGCTTTATTTAATAATTAAAAATTATTATTTTCACAGTGAAAATCAGGATGAATTAATAATTTAATGTTTTAATTGTTCCTTTTCCTACTTTGAACGTAAACAGACTTTAACCGATTTCATACATAGATTTATAACTCTTCAGAACCTATATGGTTATTTATAATGTTCATTTCTCAGTGAATTTAAGAAGCTCTTAAAGAGCAATGTATACAATGGTGAAGGTCCCTGCGTAGGCTTTCCTCCCATCCACATCACCTAGAGTAAGCCAGCACGTTACCACACAGCAGGGCATCCCATGCGGGAACCGGGCTGTAGAACTCTGGCCTTACTACTCCGCAGGCATAGTCAATCTTCTGTGCCCACCGGAGACATCTGTGCCCACAGATGCCATCAAGCTGTCTGTGACAGCCAACTTGGCCCCACAAAGACGCTTAGATAGTAATCAGTTCATTCATGTTGCTCGCTAAGAAAAAACAAATTCCCCTAAGAGTTTCACAAAGAGTTTAGGACTAAGAAATTATCCACAAGGTTTTAACATCAGAATGAGGCATTGAGGAAGGGAGAAAAATAGACTCCTCGAGAAATCAAAATGACTGATGGATTTGCGTTCTCCCTAGTGGCCATACGATGTTTAAAAGCAGTGAACATAAATCAGCTGCCTCTTTTTTTTTTTTTTTTTAAGATTTTATTTGACAGACAGAGATCACAAGTAGGCAGAGAAGCAGGCAGAGAGAGGGGAGGAAGCAGGTCCCCGCCGAGCAGAGATCCCAATGTGGGGCTTGATCCCAGTGTCCTGGGATCACTAACCGAGCTGAAGGCAGAGGCTTTAACCCACTGAGCCACCCAGGCGCCCCAACTGCCTCTTTTATTAAGAGAAAAGAAGACAAGTGAGCAGCACCCTCATGGCAGGCCCTCATCTTAAGTAAGACCTAGCAGACCTTCGCTGGCAGCCACAGAGGATGTCCCAAAGTCAATAACATTTTATGAACCCTAAAAAGAGACAGAGGAGATAGCAGGGGTACCTGTCCTGCAGCTCCACTAACTGCTTATTACCTGGTGATAAAATAAGGAAGTAGAAGGGCGCCTGGGTGGCTCAGTGGGTTAAGCCGCTGCCTTCGGCTCAGGTCATGATCCCAGGTCCTGGGTTCAAGCCCCACATCGGGCTTTCTGCTCAGCAGGGAGCCTGCTTCCTCCTCTCTCTCTGCCTGCCTCTCTGCCTACTTGTGATCTCTGTCTGTCAAATAAATAAATAAAATCTTTAAAAAAAATAAGGAAGTAGAGTCCTAACAACATGTCAGTTAGAAAGCTTTCAGGACTACAAATCCACAATACAAATCCGTCCTCACCAACATACTGACGATTAAGCTAAGTCTAAGGAAAGTCAGTTCTAATAATAAGGAAGTAGGACTCACAAACTCAGGGTATGATTATCAGCGGAACAATCATACTTCATGTCCAATGCATCATCTGTACTTGAATATTTTGTGTGCTATATTTTTAATCAAACTATTAAACAGTTACAGCCTTGCACACAAATCTGTGGTAATAATACCATGTATATCAGTTACCAGATTTTCGGGACAAAACTTGCCTTTCAGAGCTATTTCCATGGGTTTTGAAGCAAATTACGTAAGTTTTGGTATAAAAGAGTACCACTTTGGTCATAATAAGCTTAGAAAGAGCTTAGAAAGAGAATATGAGCGTGGTGGGGTATAAGGTGTCTTAAAATGTAAGTAAAAAATAGTTCTGATCATTTAAGAAAAAAAACGGTCTCTGAATCAAATTGTTATTTGCGGTTAATATACTGCACCTGATACTGTGTATAACATTTCTCACAGTTCAGTTTATTTTTGGTGAACTGTGGGGATGAACTTTTCAAATATAAATTTAATTTATAACAAGTGATTATCCAAATGAAAAAAAATTGTTATTTACCCTCCGTACTGCTTTTGGCATATCACCTCTGAAACTTGGAATGATGCTGGGAGCATGAGTCAGAGTAAAGAAGACAGGAAGATATGTGAAATACCAGGGGTCCCACATCCTTTCTATTGTTTTACTCCTTCCCCCAAGTCTGTTAGTAAGTCAGGTGTGTATATCAAGGGGATTAAGATGCCACTCATCAGCAGCATTTCCTACCTCCTGCAAATAAGTACCTAAAATTCAACCATGTGAATATTAAAAGTTTCCTTCTATAGATGAGGGAAACCAAGCATCTCCTAATGTTAATTTTCCGCTACTGGAGTTAGAGTATGGGGCCAGGAAGTACAACATTTCTTCTTATTTGACTTTCTTCATCTATTAAGTATAAAGCAAACAGCAAAAAGAGTGCCCACTGGAAATCATTTAGAACAAAACAACGGCACAAAATACTGGTACTTGAGGGCCCGTCCACTGACCTCTAAATGTAACCTAGGACAGGAAACAAAATCTTAAAAGATAGCATTAAAAACAGCCTTAGAAGTGCCTCCATACAATGGGATATCTTCTTTTAAAAAATCAATAATAAGATACCAGTCTTGTCTGCCAAAGAAAAATCATATCTGAGGAAGATTGGCCTTAAGGGGATGAGTGAAATAAGGGAAGATTTATGGGTTATGTATCTTCTGTACCACAGAGCCCAGCATTCTGTTGTTCTTGTCGCTGTTCTTAGGGATCACTACATAAACATTAACACGTTTATCCTATTTTTGACATATAATACATCAAATTATATACTTTTCACAGAAAATATAAATACATGTTTTATTAGCCCATCTATGGAAGCTCTATGCCAGAATTTGACACTTCACATTCCAAGGGAACTTCAAAAGGAAAAGGCAGAATTCATACAGACTTTTAGGTGTACACAAATTTTTACCCATGGTACATATAATAAATGTTATAATTCAGAAATACTGAAAGGGCACATTTCTTTTACCAATAATAGGAGTAACTCTCTCCATCCACATCTCCTTCCAAAAAGCTAATGCATTTTATAAAATTTCTTTTTTTGGTATTAACGGAACTGAAAAGCCAAGAATTCCATCCTATTAAAAATGTACATCGGTGCATATCATTTCACCTTTGTTCCAAGTCATTCAAATAGTAAAGTCTGTGCAACCAGGAATATTTTGGAGGAAAGCTCATTTGTCATCTGTCACAACATTTTGATCTATTCAGAGTGATCCTAGCTTGAAAAGCAGTATCCAAAGTCTCATTTCATTTTCTCCCCAGAAATACACCAACAAGCTGATTGACATGGGCAGCTAGGATCGGGATCCATTAGTGATTTGTCTAAGATCATTTCTGAAATTCCAACTGAGGATATATGCGTATTGACATCCACACATACAACCCCTAAGTTCTCTAAGCAGATTCTCTCTTCTTCCTCCAGAAAACGTACAGGGACTTCCGACTGCAGGGTGTGTTGGAAGGCACCCTGAACAGTAAGACCTACGATACTCTGCACAGGCGGTTAACGGTGGAGGAGGCTACAGCCTCTGTCTCAGAAGGAGGAGGACTTCAAGGCATCACCATGAAAGACAGTGATGAAGAAGAAGGCTGATAACCCCGGCGCTGTAGGAGGAAAGAGGATGTTGACCTCGTTTATTTTGTACTCCGTCTTTGTAATTACATTGATTGTCTGGACCAAATAAAAATGCTTGTATTTCACTCCACTTTGCAAGGAGTCAACCAGGAAGCAGAGTGAAAGGGGAAAATGCCAAGTTTTTTTTTGGTTTTTGTTTTTAGGATCAGCCTCTCCAGTGTAGCTTGACCTAAAATGAGCTTTGGCTTTGTTTGTGATTGGAACATGATTTTTTTGGGTTTTTTAGAAGCTTTGACTTTTTCTTCTGTGATTAAATCAAAGTAGTGTCCTCTGTGTGAAATGAGATCTACATTTCTCAGAGTATGATATTGTAAGAAGAAGCCACTCCTGATCACTGCGTCAGCTCTCTTGTACCCTTGTTAAAATGGTGTGTATTTAATAGTTTATCATTTATGTGTCAGGGTTTGTTTTTTTTTTTTTTCATAGTTAATTTGCCATTAATGTTGTAATGTGTGTAAAAACTTTAACCTTGGTTCTTAGTACTCTGAATTCATCTGCAGGCTTAAAGGACTGCCAAACCAAATATAGACTAGATCCTCCGTCAGCTTGTGTCCCCTTCTATTCTGAACATACCTTTCAAGTTTAGGAAAAAAAAAATCCCAAAGCGTAAGGTAATTAAGTGTGCTGCCATCAACATACCACATTCTCCTACTTCTAAATGTAACAGCTTGCAGGCAATAAAAATGTATTTGGTCAAAACCACCTCTGTATTTATTAGACTTATATAAATTAAATGCAGTAAAAAATGTTTGCAGTATTACAAACATCCCAACAATTTGGCTCTGTGTTTTTTCTTTTTGTTTTGTTTTGTTTACAATCAGATGAGTAAAAGATACTAACACTGCTTTGCACCTAATCGGCACGAACACTTCTGAAAAGAATAATTACAAAAGCATAGTTCCATAGCAAAAGTAATGTTGACTACATACTCATATATTACTAACATTAGCAATTTGTGTTAACTAATAATACTAGGAGTGCTAGTTATTTAACTAGCAGTTGACGTATTAGTTAACAGTTATTTCTTCCCCCCACAGTATTTTCTTGCTATAATTTTGAAAGTGAAAGATTACACTGTATAATTTCTCTATGAATTTTACTTCTTGTATTTTTTCCCTAAAATATCCTGGCATATTGTGCTACTACATTCATTCATAGTAATTTTTAAATGAGGTAAGTTAATGCAGAATAACTGGAGGTATCCCTGAATTTGTGTAAACTCTAGTTCGGGAATTTTGGAAGTGAAACAACTTCTTAGACCTCCAAATTCATTCTCTGACAGTGTTGTAAATGATGCCTCAGGAGCTGGACTAGTCCACAAAAATCCATTTGATTAGTTATTATATGATACTGGTTTGGGCTCAAATCTAGGTCCTAGGGGTAAGACCTCCTGTGACACAAGATAAACATGAAAGGAGATTTCTTCACCTTTCCTGGATTAGAGACTAAGTCTCCCAACTCAGTATTGTGGGAAGGCAGTTTGCCCTGGAATGCTCTCTTTTCCTCTCTCTGCCCTCACATCCAATAGCACCCTGTCTTCGGGCCGCCAGATGTCCAGTCCTGCTACCCTAAACTCAGCGGCACCCTCCCCATTCTTGCTGCTGCACAGCTCAAGCGGCTGTAGACTCTGAAATTACCCACCCTTGTTTTCCCTAAATGTCTGTGTCTTTGATATAGCTCATCTCTGAGTAATTGGCCCATGTTGTCCTGAACTATAAATGATGAATTACTGATGCCCCCCCCCTTAGCCATATATAGAGATACTCAGGGAAATACCTAGCTAATCCAATTCAGATATGCAGGGGAAAGCACTTGGGGTCAGCAGGGTCTTGCTGCTGATCTGAGCTCTTTCAACTGCCTACTGGCCCTCTTTGCTGGTCAGCCTCCTGTAGTTTCTCTCCAAATTTGAATGTTCTCTGCTCCTTCCCTTCTGTGCCCAGGAGATCTCTAAAGGCTCCATTCCCCGGTCCAATGTCCAGTGGCTTCCACAGAGAGGACAGCAACAAAGGCAGGTAGTGGAGATGCTCACAGGTATATGACGACTTTGTGGACGAGCCTTTGAGCCACAGAAAGGTGTATGAAGAGAAATTTATAAAGTAACTGAAAAAGAATAAAAAGTCATTTTTGGGTTTTTGCCCAGAAATTCTCTTCAACATAACTGCAAATTGCTTGAAATGACTTAATAATTGTTCATTGGTCTGTGTAACTGTTAGGGTGAATACCCAAGCATCTATTAAAGGAAGCCAAGTGTTATTTTTCAAGCATTAGTTCATTAAAAGGGATTTAATTGAAAGCCTAACAAATCTTACAACTTTTTTAAAAATGAAAATCATTTTTAATTCAAAAGAAATAGCTCTACCCTCCTAAATGGTAGAGAAAAAGCTCTACCTTCCTTGGGGGAAGGGCCAAAAGTGCATCACTTGGGCATTTTAAGAAGTGTTGCGTGAGAAAATAATGCAGTCTAATATCCAGCTGGAATGGGACTGTTAAAATAACACGTCTAAAAGGAAAGTTTCTCCAAACTCATGGAGAAAAATAATAATAACCCCTTTTCCCGGAAAGGGAAAGAACCACGCAGAGCTTAACGTAAACCTCTCAGCTCCAGCTGTGGGTCGTTCTTGTATTCACGGATTTTTCCACTTGAATTCCCCTTAGTTCTTGTTCATTGTCCCTCGCTCTGCAGAAAGGATTTCCTGCTACTTTTGCAGTAAACGCCGGTGCAAAGTGTCTTAGGGCTCCCACCCCGCCCCCCACGGTCAGAGCCCGGCCTGGCCCGGCGTCGCCCTCCTTGGCCCGCGAAGACTTCGGGTGAAGGGTCCGTGAGCTCTTGGAAGGTGCGCTTGGTGAGAAAGGTCACCCGGCCACGGCTGCTCACGGAGCCCTCCCCTGCCGCGACCGTCTGCCCTCCGGGAGGCGCGTGCCCCCAACCCCCCTTCGCGAAAACCCGCGGGGACCCGGGGCCGGCCCTGGGCGCAGGGGCCAAGCGAGCCGGCCTTGCGCGCGATCCCCGCGAGCCGGAGCCCAGAGCCTGCCTTCCCAGCCCCTCCCGCCACGCGTTTCGTGGAAGGACCAGAGTGGGGAGTTTGGAGCGAGAGCTCGGTCTCTTTCATGTCTTACTCCCCAAACAGAAAATGGAAATTTCCCGGTCCGGGTCCCTTAAGGAAAGTGATATAGATCGATGTTCCTGAGAGACGGTCACCGCCGCCGCCCGCGGGGCGAGCGCCCGCCGGGAGAGCAAGCAGGTGGGCCCCTGCGCGCTCTGCGTCCACCGCCCGCCGGAACCCCCACCCGCAGCCCTCCACGCGTCCCACCGGGGCCAAGAAAAAACAAACAAAAAAGTGGACTAGTTGTATGCAGAGTTTGGAGGCCTGATTTGTGGCAGTTTGGGAAGACAGTGCTCATCCTACCTTTGCATGGGGTCCCCCTACCTCACCCCCACCCCCTGCCCGACTGCTGTGCGGGGAGCCGCGGTCGGGAACCGGTCTCCTATTTCTTTCAAGCTCTGCTCGGCGGCCGGGCAAGAACCTCGGGGAAAGCGGACGGCTCAGATGGCTCTGGTCCTTGGCGGCAGGTAGAGGTGGAGCCCAAGGGCCCGGGCTGCAGGGAGGAGGCGAAGAGGAATTGGGAACCCCGCAGTCCCCGAAGCGTGCGGCCGGCGTCTGCCCACCCCACCCACTTCCAAGGATGAGGCTTTCCCCCAGCGTTGGCTGAAAGATGGGGGGCAAAGAGGACTTAATCTGTTCTTCTCTGTGACGCTGAACTAAGGTACTTAAAGAACAGAAGCGGATACAGACCGTGAGCACAACGCTCCCAGCCTGGGTTCCCGAAGTCAGGAGTGACAGTCAATCGCGCCCTTAGTCCGTGTGTAATTTGTGATCGTTCTAAGGGAATAGGCACAGGGGCGTGAGACTACACTACTGAGAAAAGAGGAAGTGAGGGTAGAAGAATTCGATGTGCTTCCCAAATGAAGAAGACCCCTGATTTAGAGAAATACACCAGAACCAGGAGTTCATGACACAGTTTGGTAAATCGTAGTAAGCAGGGCCTTGGAGGCAGAAAACCCTGGATTTGCCTCCTAACTGATACACTCTTGCCTGCGTCTGAGCTCTGTGTCCTTGGGCAAGTCACTTCACTTCTCTGTAAAATGGCCACTTAATCACGGAGGTGATTGTGAGAATTAGAGAGGCATGTAGTAAGTTGTGGCCAGTACTAACTAGCTCTTCGTGAGGAACGGACTGAGAAGAAATCGTGGTAGGCCTGCCTCTGCCCACGTGCACCACCACTCTCTGGCCATTCTCCCCGGGGTGGTCTCAGGATCCTTTGACATCATAGCCGGCTCGGCGGCTCTTCAGCCCGGTCCCACCTTGGCGTGTCAGTGGACTGGCTAGAGTTGTCCGGTTCCTGGGTTATATATAAGGCCGGCCAAGTGGGAGGAGAGGAGTAGACGGGGAGGGGCAAACCTACTCGGGTCTGCGGCGAGGGCCGGCAGTGCCGAGAGCAGCCCTTGGAGCAGTGGTTAGGAGGGGAGGCAGCTGGAGACGTGCCTTTGGGCCGCGAGGGCATGATGTTGGTCAGGGGCTTTCAAACCGGACAGGTAGGATCCAGACATGCTAGACGTGTAAGCAAGGGACTCAGACCTCGGCGCGTACCCAGTAGGTCAAGTTCAAGAAAATTTAAGGGGCAAATTGGTGTTCGTTACCGTCTCCCAACGGAGAGGAAGGAAACCTAGGCTGGCGTCCTGCGTCTAAGCCCAGAGATGAGCACGCAAGAAGCGCTTGGAAAACGCGCCGCGGAACCGAGAGAGAAGCAAAGGAAAGCAAACCGTCGCAGCGCGCCCCAAGCTGCCCTCGGCCGCGGAAGCCGAGCAAAAACCGCAGACACTGAGGGCCACGGTCAGCACAGAGGCTTGGCCCAGAGTGCCGAACTGACAGCCCTACTAGGCTGACAGGAAAAAGCCAGTAACTTGGAGACCGGTCAGGGCCTAGGGCACGCCCCAGGGTCACATCCCAGCGTGTCCGTGACGAGGAAGACGCGTGCCCTGGTGGTGCTGGGGCCAGGCATTCGGTGGCCTCGGGGAGGCAGAAACCCATCGCTTACCAGAGGCGGAGACGCCTCGGCCTGCTTTGGGCTGGGACTAGAGCTAACTTTTTTTTTTTTTTAACCGGAGGGATGTCTCCCATTTTAATCATTCCCTTAAGGTAGCCTGCCTTCAGCTTCTGAGTTCCAGATCCAGGGAAGAATTTTACTTAGTTACTTACACACACACACACACACACACACACACACACCACTGCAGAATACCGCAGATGCCGTTAATCTCCCTGTACTTTGCAACTTTACATTAAAAGTGACTGTATTGGGGCGCCTGGGTGGCTCAGTGGGTTAAAGCCGCTGCCTTCGGCTCAGGTCCTGATCCCGGGATCCTGGGATCGAGCCCCGCATCGGGCTCTCTGCTCAGCAGGGAGCCTGCTTCCCTTCCTCTCTCTCTCTGCCTGCCTCTCTGCCTACTTGTGATCTCTGTCTGTCAAATAAATAAATAAAATTTTAAAAAAAAGTGACTGTATTTATGTGCTTGTTTGTGGATGACTTTTAAAAGGTAACAAACACATTCTCAAATTGTCTAAGTTTCCATCCCTAGGATCCGTGGTTCTCAAGAGCGGAAGTGAAGAGTTGATCTCGAATTCAAGAATCTTCAGGCAGGGTAGTTCCCCTTTCCTGGGCTCTGGCACACGTTTGCTTTACGGAGCCCCTACACAGACTGTGTACCT